TCCTATTTGAAAACCCTCCTTCGTGGCTTATCGCCGGTCCTACAGGTAGTGGTAAAACCGTGATGGTAAAAAAGTTGTTGGTTCATCTATCACAAATGGTCACCCCACACCCCTGAGGAGATTATATGGTGTTACAGGGAACGGCAAACGATATACGAGATGATGAAAGGTGCCCAAGTTATGGAAAGGGTTTCCTGACAATGGTCAAGGGGCGGTAGGCTATAGAAGACGCCGCCGGCTAGTTCTCATAGACGACTTGATGAGCAAAACACATGACAGAATCCCCAAATTGTTTACCACCGGGACCGTGGTATGCACTGTTTCTCTCAGGCAATTTTCTAATGGGGTGGGAGGGAGCATTTTTTTAAATTTCCGGGTGGGCAGTGATAGTGGACAGAGACGGAGCTAAAGGGGGTGTGTCCATAAATTAACAGAATATGCTGCAGCCATAATTGCCCCGAACACATCCGGAAGACCTATTCATCACCCGCAACGATAGGACCACGTGCTGATGGACTTTACTCCCAAGGAGAAGTCTCACATACATCCACCACAGCGTAAAGAAGCACTAGGGAAGAGGTATCCCAGAAGGTAAGTTGTGAATGGTATCACCCTCTTTCTTGAATGCTCTGGGAAGCCCTGAGCCTTGAAAAACCACGAGGTAAATGGGATGAAGAGTCCACTTCCACATCGAATGAATCTCTGTATTGTTCTGCCGATACGTCTGCTTTCGTAAACTCCGTGAAAAGCGCTGAGCCCAGAAAAGCCACGAAGTAAAGAAATGGAGAATTTACCTCCATTATTTAAGTGATCCCATTGTATTGTATTGCTGTTTTCTCCCCTTCTGTTAACGCCCTGACAAGTCACGAAGGACGGGACCCGAGGATCCACTTCCACGTTGAAGTGATCTAATTATTGTATGGTCTAACCAGATCATTAGAGCTGCTTTATAAAGTACCGCTCTGTCATACACTTGCGATGAACGCCCTGAGAAGAGCTGAGCCCTGAATTAAAGAATAGATGGATCCACCTCCACCTCGAAGTGACATTATCACTAATTGATCAATCTAGATCATTAGAATAATTGATTGATGAGTTAAGTTTAAAAGGTCTGATCGCATACGATTGTAATACAAAGCAAAGCGAATGGTCAGATGAGAAATAGGCTATACGGGAGGCCATTGTACATAATAAAATAGAACCTAGATTAATATATATGACAGTTGTTTTGCATATCCTTCACCATAACTTTACCATAAATTAATACACCTGTTAATAAAGTAGTTTATTTTATTAACTGAATGGTTTTATGTAATATTTGATTGTTAAGGCATAAACAAGTAAAGTAATTATGTACATTAGTGCGTGAAATCGATAGAACAAAAGACCCCTAGACACAAGCAGGTGTGACACTCATCAGAGATTTGTTCCAACTCCAACTAATATCAAATACATTTCACCACAATTTTAATGTTCTTGTTTTCCATATTTGATCGGGGGGGGGGAGGAATTTTTCATTCATTATGGCAGCCTGTGTCCTACATAAACTGAATTCTGGCGTGCCCCAACTAATGATTTGCTAAAAGCGTAGATTCAACCCAGCAATATCAAATTGATCGTCATCCGTAAAAAGGGTAGCAGACATTGAGGTTGCTGTAGATTCCTAATCAAAAAATGGGACCAGGGGTCCTGTCTGTCATGGGGCAATTCAGATTTTCTTGTGGGAAGCACCAAACATAGCCAACATAACGATCAAGGACATCGCTAACTCTTCCGCAGCCCAACTTGAATTAAATTCATTCCCGCTTGGTGCCCTTCAAGATATGCTTTTTTGCCCTAGCGTAGTCTTACCCCTTAAATCTGTATAGACTCCAGAAATTTTTTTATAAATTCAAAATGCGACAATACATTTTAGCACATATCTGAGCTTAGTTTTCCCTTTTCCAAATTTCATCGGAAACCAACTGGAGAGAGGCTATTTCAAAAATTAAGTGTCACTTGACCTTATGGCAATCTTGTCGCTAGCTAATGCAACCCCATCAGCTGAATTGGGGGTTTGGGTATTTTAGAGGCTTTAAATGTAATGTAGTGACTTTTAAAAGTATCAACAAGTTTGGGGAAGGACAAAACCGAAAATAAAGGGACGACTGTGCATGTCAGGGTTGTGTTATAATAAAAAATTATAACCGAATATTAATGTGATTTAAAACTATTTTTGTTGTAATCTACCTGATAAATAAATTAATTCAGAAAAAACTCCTTAAAAAAAAGTCGTTTTCCATCACAGAAACATATTGTTAACATCCCGTTGAAAGAAAAAGAAAGAAAAAACTTAGGCTATGTATATTTCTAAAATTATGCTAAAAACTATTTTTGTAAAGCATGATGCCACAAAAAATATGTATAATTAACACCTATACCTCCTTAAAAAGTCATGCTTTTATGATGAAATATAATTTGAAAACAGATCCCAAATAATAAATATTTAGCAATTACTATAATAAAATTATAAACAATTATATTGATGTAAATTTGCTTTAGTAGCGTGTTATTTAATTTTTTAAACTATTGGAAGATGAAACAGAAAATAAATAAATAGAAATACCGACAAAAAGGAACTACAAAAAAATGAGCGTTTAGCTTATAAACCAGAAAGGCCAAGTTTCAAAACAATGCGGTAATTTTGTATCAGATAATATAAGTTTTGTAATTTACCAAGACAAGCTTTAATCATGCGCATCATCAAATATATCGAGCTCAGCTCATAGTTTCCGTTAATTGTAATCAGTTCACGTCAAAAGATTTTATTTGTTTTATTTATTTTTGTTAATTTTATAAAATTTACAATTAGTTTTTGGGTTTTTAACATTAATTATAATCCTTTTTTTCTGTTTTGCAATTTTTTCTCAGATGGGTGTGGTACTTACATTTCTCAGGTAAGCAGTCCTCCCCCCCTCCCCCCCCCCTCAACCAGGCGAGATGAATGGGGAAAAAACACTGCTAGTATATGACCTGTCCTACGTTAAGACGGTGCTTCGCTGGTCATTGTGTAGTGCACTTACAATTTAAAATTGCCCAACTTTAGTTGCATGCAATGAACTACCAACACTTTCTTTCCGTTATTCTGAGTTTAATCTTCGTACAGGACTTGTGCTAATTCTTATACTTTTCTTTTATTTCATTCTTAGGCATATGTTAGGTGTTTTTTCTGGCATCCGTCCCTCATAATGTGACGATGGTGTAGGCTTGTCCCTCATAATGTGACGATGGTGTAGGCTTGTCCCTCATAATGTGACGATGGTGTAGGCTTGTCCCTCATAATGTGACGATGGTGTAGTCTTGTCCCTCATAATGTGACGATGGTGTAGTCTTGTCCCTCATAATGTGACGATGGTGTAGGCTTGTCCCTCATAATGTGACGATGGTGTAGGCTTCGATGGACAAAATCACAAGGCCTCGGATTTTTTTTTTCGTTTTGTATGATACGTTTGTTCCCAATGTAGCAAATCGCTTCTTTCCATGCACCCTGATAACCCAAGGGGACGTTATCTGTGGATTTTACAGCTTAGCACCATTAGCATCGCAAGAGTTATCGGAATGCTCAGTTCTTCAATATTATTCGCCTACGGACATATATAATTTGTAACTATTGCCTCAAGCCTTCAAACCCCCAGTGCATGATTTCCTCACAAAGTGGCACTTGCAATTAGTGAAATGTCCTCATCAACACCAGGAACAGAAGCATAGGCAAATCCCCTCTACATGCATAGGAGCCAAAATGGTCAATAAATTGATCGTGGGCCCTTAATTTATAGAACAAGATATATTTATTTATATTATATATGTATACTACAATTGGGCTACTTCAAATATTTTTAATGAGATCTTTAAAAACAAATTAATGTCCTATAGAATTAGGACCCACAGTTGCAAGATTGACCCTGACAGCATGGGTTATAATGTGGAACACATTGTGTGGGGTAGAGTTGGACATGGTTAAGAGGGAAAAGTAGCGAATGAGGAGATGGTGGGTAGAGTTTGGGGTTTTGAGCGATGAGGTCACTGAATTACGTTAAAAATTTATCATTTAAACTATTCAAAAACACTTCATTGTTTCAGAAACTTTTATGGAACCAGTCGAATGTAGTTGCTTGTGCAAAACTGGACTACACACTTATAAATCATTCGAAAGTAGTGACGTTTGTAGCATTGGACCACACAAATTTATTTTATAAATAACTTTCGCAAACGCATGTGTCAAAAACATTAAATATGTATGTTTATTGTCGAAGTCAGTCAAAAACATCAACATAGTATATCATTAATCTGGTTAGTATATCATGTATCATTGCCTTGGTAAGTAGGTTACTAATCATTATCCTGGTAAGCATGTCATTCATCATTATCACGGTAAGTAATTCATTCATCATTGTCCTGGTTAGTAGGTCATTCATCATTTTCAAGGTAAGCACAAGGTAATACATCAACATTGTCCATCATTGTCAAGTAAGTATAACATTCATGTAACTAGTTGGCAGTTGTCTTCAGTTTTCTTTTGTAACATTGTATGTTCGCAGTGATATCCTAGACAGTAGCCCTATCATCGTCACAATGATATATCAAAGGTCTTCAAATCCATATTCTCCAATTATGAGTTTATCAAAATGTCAAGAGTCAAACAATAACTATAATGCCTTGATATCATGAGCCAACTTGTCCCAGAATGCCTTTCTGTGCTTAGGATCCTTTGGATAAGCTATGTACGTACTAGACTTGATATAAGACATGACTTCAACATTTATCTCATGAGTTGGGATCTCATCCATGAGAAGGAAGATTAACACGTTACGTCCAGTATTGATGGACTCAAGTCTCGCCATCTGCGAATAATACCAAACCATCTTTTTAACATTTCTGATTCAATTCAATATGTGTATATCTTAATTTTCTTGATTTTTTAAATTTTGTTTGATTTAATGTGTAATTTTGAATAATTTAGTTTAAAATAAATTCACCACATTTAAAACATCTTTGTGACTCACTTGTAGTTCGTACGTGCACCATTTGCTGGCCAGCAGTCGCCGCGTCAAAATGACCAAAGTTTTACGACATTGAGTGACTGCCATGTAAATGTTATCAGCGATTTGACGACCGACTTGGAAGTTTTCCCCGTGAATCAAAACCTTGATCTTTCTCTCGTCTCGCAGCTTTGGGCACAGCTCCTGAAATAGTGAAAAGTTTATAATTTAAACCCTAGAAAAAAAAATATTCTTCAATAACTCGGTGGACAATTACTCGAATAGACAACTATTGTATAATTTGAAACATTGATTATGAAATAGATCCGATCTTTGAATAGTTAACCATTTTTTTTTAATTTTAATTATTTTAAATAATTTTTTTTGTCTAAAAAAGTTGGAAACACAATCTTATTTTAAACTCATGTTACACGGTAACCTGGGCGACATTTGTTAAATGTATCCTTGTGATTATTTCACATTTTGTTTCATACAAAATTGGTTCGAAAAGGTAAGGAACATGACCTCTAACCTCTAACATAAATTCGACGTCATTGTTCTCATAACTGATGAACACGTCATATTCATACATCTCTGGGCTTGCTTTGTGATTGACATAAAACTTGGCAGCATGGTACCAGTATCTTAGCGTCCACCTGGAAGGAAATATTATATTTATGCTTTAGTTTACACATATTTATGCACATATTTTAAAAAATGAATACAAAAATAATTTTAAAGTTTAAACGATATTTCCAAACGTGGATGACAATTTAATAAAACAAGAAGAAAATAAAAAAAATAAAAAATTTAATTTATTAATATGGTTGTCTCTCCTCTTCCTCCCCCACCACATTCCTACCTCACCTTGTCCTTTGTCCTATGACTCTGACAATGTCATATAATTTTTAATTATTGTCTGATAATGCAAAAAAATTATGAACAATTTATGAGATTTTCAGATCACCCAAGGACATACTGTCTATACCTGAATCTGTACATGATGACCCCTAGAAGAGACACCAAGACAGCTAATGTGGCGCCAACCGCGGCCACAAAAAGTCCAACATTTGTTTTACACAATCGCCTCAGTTTTCTCACTTCGTCTTCATACCCGTCTGGCATCTCTACAGTCACCTGATCAGCACTGACATATTTGCAATAATAATCCTTAGATGGGAAACCAAAAATATTGGTCTCTACAACCCACTCTAGGAATTCCAGGTTGTCGCAATCACAGAAGATTGGGTTGTCCCGCATGTCTACGTGAAAACTTTTGTTGGCAGCCAAGAGCCCACTGATGGCTATTCGAGTGTCTTTGTATAATGAACCAATCTGATTCGAATGAAGATCAAATAGTGTCAAGTTTGGCATGTGAGCGATACTAAAGTGAATACTGCCAAGTCTGTTAATGGATAAATCTAAAATTTCTAAACTAATCAATGTTTTGAAGCTTGCGTTATTAAGACGGTATAAGTTGTTGAAAGAAATGTTCAAATAAGTTAAATTAATCAAAGGATCAAAGATGTCATCATTGCTGCACAGAAATTCTCCTAGCAGATTCCGAAAAAGATTCAGATACTGTAGGCTCGTCAGAGTTTTGAAGAACGTATTTTCGATAGTTTCTATAAAACAGCTTGACAATGACAGATTTTTGAGACTGTGAAGTCCCGTGACAGGACCAATTAAAGAATTGAACATGTTGCCACTAATATCAACATACTCCAAGCTGTTGTTGTCACTAAAGCTAATGTTGTTGACTTGGTACTCTAGGGAGTTGCTGTGCATTGTGAGTTGGGTTAAAGTTGGTGGCAACGGCAGAATGAAAGGTTCGTCTTCATCTGCAACGTCGGACTCTTCCTTAACATCGCTACAGTTCTCGGTATGCGGTGGCTTGCAGTGAAGGATTTTAGTAGGAAAATTGGGTGCGAATCTAAAGGGGGTAGGATACCCGTCTAGGTGTAATCTTTTAAGTCCTTTCAGGTAGCCCATGTCTCTCCAGTAGGCACCAAACATGATTCTGTTGTTGGTGAGGTTGAGTGTCCTTAGTGTTGGGGGCAACATTTGTATTGCCCCAAACTCAATCATCTCAATCTCATTATCCATGGCTTCAATCACCTCCAGACTAGTGTTCTTGAAATGTCGCAGTGTGTTTTTGTAGACAACAATACAAGCAGCAAAGCGAGCCCCGATCCTTTGCAATTTCAAATGACGTAAATTTGGACTGCTTCTAAAACTATACATGACGTTACCGAGAGCGGAAAGTCCAAGATCAAAATTATTAGATACATCCAAGGACTTTAACTCTGTTAATTTCTCAAATGCGCCATTTTCGAGGATTTTTCCTTGTATTCCACAATCAGATACGTTTAGGTGGTGCAGACTTGTCAAGAACTGAAATGTTTCGTTACTTAGTAAATGGATGTTACAATAGCCACACTTGAAACCTGCCAAATTTAAATTCCTCAATTCTTTTAAGTTTGAGAACCCTTGATCAAACGTCTTGTTCATCAGCCCATCCATGTGCAGTACGGTCAGTTTGGTCAGAAAAGACAGGGCAAAGTCTGGGTACATCAACTGGTCTGATGACGTGTTGGGATTGTTCCTGTTCATGACAAGAATCTTTAAAGTGTTTCCCAACGGAGCAAACACGGTTGACCTATTTAGTGCCGAGTCCATCAAAATGTTGTTGTTGTAAAGACTGAGTTGAATTAGAGAGCTCAAACCATAAAATAGTCCTTCAGGTAGAACTGTGAGATTATTGCAATCCATCTGAAGGACGAGGAGTTTGGAATAGTTGGCTAACACTCCAGGGTAGAGGGCGCTGCTAGAGATATTATTATAATTTAGAAGAAGGTGTGTAATGTTGTCAGGTAAATCTTGTGGGACTTCTGTAAGATTACAGCGACCACAATCAGCGACTTGTCCATAACAGCATAATCTACAACAACTGGTCATTTGTGTAGTCTTGTTCTTGGCCATTGTACCATGCCACTGGCTGTGGTATAAATCCCCAATGAAGGGGGCACATTCTATTTGACTTTTGTCCTTATGCAGATCTGGATCACAATTGTCTTGGCGTGAACCAAATAACTTAACATTATCCTCTCGGACAACGGATGGTGAAGAAAGTATTCTTAGGGATGTGAGAGAAAATAAAAATATGAGTTCCATTCCATTCATAGCTTGGTGTTGTTGTTAGGACCTGGGAATGTTAATTATAAAGGGGTAGTTTTAATAAACATAGACATGTATTTCTAAACTAATGTTTAGTCTTATCAGCTGAAGTCATAATGATGGTGAAAGCAAATATGAACTTGTATGGAATTCTAAATATATTTTCTGAAATATAAATTAATACAAATTATTTTGATGTATTTTTAATCATTTAAATTGGTCAAACGTAAAATATTTCAAGAAATCAATTTAATGTATTGTGTCTAAACTGGTTTGATCCGTTTTGTATAAAATGTCTTTCACTATTTTTGTAGGAGACACAGCAATACGTTGAAATGAACAATCCAATCATAGATAAGATTTAGTAAGATCACTTTAGAAGATTTAGATTTCCTGTATGATTGATAAGGTGATTGGGAAGAAGTGGTTGTGAACAAGTGGTTGCGAACAAGTGGTTGTGAAAAAGTGGTTGTGAACAAGTGGTTGTGAACAAGTGGTTGTGAACAAGTGGTTGTGAACAAGTGGTTGTGAACAAGTGGTTGCGAACAAGTGGTTGTGAACAAGTGGTTGTGAACAAGTGGTTGTGAACAAGTGGTTGTGAACAAGTGGTTGTGAACAAGTGTTTGCGAACAAGTGGTTGTGAACAAGTGGTTGTGAACAAGTGGTTGTGAACAAGTGGTTGTGAACAAGAGGTTGTGAACAAGTGGTTGCGAACAAGTGGTTGTGAACAAGTGGTTGTGAACAAGTGTTTGTGAATAAGGGGTTGTGAACAAGTGGTTGTGAACAAGTGGTTGTGAACAAGTGGTTGTGAACAAGTGGTTGTGAACAAGTGGTTGTGAACAAGTGGTTGTGAACAAGTGGCTGGTAGCAAGTGGAGGGTGTTTCCCATGGTGATAATTACTAATTCATTGAAACAATCGTGCTCACACTCCTTTGATTCATTGTAACTTAGATAATTTTCAAATCAAAAGATGGAACGAAACTGATTTCAGAAAGTCAAATATAATAATCCATTTATTTTATTTTTATATTCAAAACTAATTATTTGTTGTTCGATCAGCCGAAACGTTGATAATAAACTCAAATTTACGTTTATATCTTTGAGAACGATATGCTTAGTAGGCCTACATTTCTTATAATTATAGAAAAGTAATTTCGTGATAGCAATGTGATAAATACCTTTTTATTACTTTGACTCATCTGCTGTCATTAGAGTTGAATTTTATTTTGTATAATTTTATAGAACTAATAAATGTACAAAGAAAAAAACTCCATTGCGTGAACCAAAGGGTTTGATAAAATCTTGGACCAAAACAAGCATGGCATATCAATTTAATAAGCAGCAGCATAACTCGGGGTTAAAGTTCACAAGAACCAATGAATGCGTAATAGGAAGGTAAGATGTTGTCAGACTTACAGAAGTACTTCTGATAATCCTCTTGCTATCAATCCTCCCCTTGATTGGTTTAACCGGTCAATCATCAATGTCTGGGAGAGAAAATGCTCCAAATAATATGCTTCCAACGTTGAGACATTACAAGTTAATGAAGTTTAACACATTTATAAGAAACGGGGAATCCACTTCCTGGTAATCTCTGACGTCATCTGTGTATCAATAATCCATTCTATTGATAACAGGAGTGCCATTATATTATTTCTACGTCCATAAAGGCTCTCCCCCACCCCAGCCCCACCTTTATCTTCTCCGGAGCATGGTAAAGCAATTGAATGTTAAAAACACCGGATAAAGTCTCTCCCCCCACCCCAGCCCCACCTTTATCTTCTCCGGAGCTCGGTAAAGCAATTGAATGTTAAAAACACCGGATAAAGTCTCTCCCCCCACCCCAGCCCCACCCTTATCTTCTCCGGAGCATGGTAAAACAATTGAATGTTCAAAACACCGGATAAAGTCTCTCCCCCCACCCCAGCCCCACCCTTATCTTCTCCGGAGCATGGTAAAACAATAGAATGTTAAAAACACCGGATAAAGTCTCTCCCCCCACCCCAGCCCCACCCTTATCTTCTCCGGAGCATGGTAAAACAATTGAATGTTCAAAACACCGGATAAAGTCTCTCCCCCCACCCCAGCCCCACCCTTATCTTCTCCGGAGCATGGTAAAACAATTGAATGTTCAAAACACCGGATAAAGTCATCGAAGCACAAAACGTTTTTGTGTAGTTTGGATTTCTCTACGAATCAAACCTGATGTTTCCAAACGGAATCTTTCAGTCACACTTTTACTCACTCGCATATTTGAACAGTTGCAAATTTGATCAGTCGCACAGTTGATCAGTTGTAAATTTGATCAGTTGTAAATTTGATCAGTTGTAAATTTTATCAGTTGCAAATTTGATCAGTTGTAAATTTGATCAGTTGTAAATTTGATCAGTTGTAAATTTGATCAGTTGCAAATTTGATCAGTTGTAAATTTGATCAGTTGTAAATTTGATCAGTTGTAAATTTGATCAGTTGTAAATTTGATCAGTTGTAAATTTGATCAGTTGTAAATTTGATCAGCTGTAAATTTGATCAGCTGTAAATTTGATCAGTTGTAAATTTGATCAGTTGTAAATTTGATCAGTTGTAAATTTGATCAGTTGTAAATTTGATCAGTTGTAAATTTGATCAGTTGTAAATTTGATCAGTTGTAAATTTGATCAGTTGCAAATTTGATCAGTTGTAAATTTGATCAGTTGTAAAATTGATCAGCTGTAAATTTGATCAGTTGTAAATTTGATCAGTTGTAAATTTGAATAGTCACACACTTGATCAGTCGCACTTTTGATAAGTTGTACAGCTGATCAGTCGTACAATTGATTAATCGCATTGCTGATCAGCTTCTAGCAGATACAATTTTGACCAAGCGCTGTCCATCGGCAGTGAGAGCAGTGCCGTGCAGAAGCCGAGGCCACCGAGTTAATCCCTCGGGCACAGTGTAGTGGCCCACAAGACTGGAATGTTTTTTTTGTTTTTGGATTTTTTTTAATTTTTTTTTTTGGTCCATTAATGCGCTACGGTGCACGATTTCTGTTTTTTCCTCATGTAGGTAGACTCTACTGTGTTCATAACGTAGACTCTACTGTGTTCATAAGGTAGACTCTACTGTGTTCATAACGTAGACTCTACTGTATTCATAAGGTAGACTCTACTGTGTTCATAAGGTAGACTCTACTGTGTTCATAAGGTAGACTCTACTGTGTGCATAAGGTAGACTCTACTGTGTTCATAACGTAGACTCTACTGTGTTCATAAGGTAGACTCTACTGTGTTCATAAGGTAGACTCTACTCTGTTCATAAGGTAGACTCTACTGTGTTCATAAGGTAGACTCTACTGTGTTCATAAGGTAGACTCTACTGTGTTCATAAGGTAGACTCTACTGTGTTCATAAGGTAGACTCTACTGTGTTCATAAGGTAGACTCTACTGTGTTCATAAGGTAGACTCTACTGTGTTCATAAGGTAGACTCTCATCATCATCATCGCCTGTCGTCCCGTCTGGGGCATAGGCCACAAACAAAGGCTCTCCAGGCATCCCGGTCTTGGGCAAGTCTCTCCAACTGTCCCCAGTTGTGCCCACTCTTTTTGATGTCTGCCTCCAGTTCCCTTCTCCAAGTTGTTTTGGGTCGACCTCTTTTTCTCTTACCCTGGGGGTTCCAAGTCAGGGCTTGTCTCGTGATACTTGATGCGGGCTTTCTGAGGGTGTGGCCAATCCATCTCCATCTGCGCTGGCAGATTAACTCTTCCACTGGTTCTTGTTGTGTGCGCCGCCAGAGATCCTCGTTGGTGATGACGGTGGGCCAGCGGATTCGTAAAATCGTTCGGAGACATGAGTTGATAAAGGTCTGTAGCTTTTTTGAACCAGCTGCTGTTGTTCGCCATGTTTCTGCCCCATATAGCAAGACAGGTTTCACTGTGGTGTTGAATACCTTGACCTTGGTCTGGAGGGTCAAATTGCTGCAGCTCCAGACCTTTTTTAGCTGGTTAAATGCCGCTCTTGCCTTACCAACTCTCACTCTTATGTCGGCGTCTGTCCCTCCTTGTATGTCAATGATGCTGCCGAGGTATGTAAAGCTATCCACCTCCTCAAGGTTTGTTCCTTCCAGTGCTATAGGTGTGTTGCTTGATGTATTTATTTTAAGGACTTTGCTTTTTCCTCTGTGGATGTTCAGGCCGATGCAAGCAGAGTACTGTGCTACATAATTGGTTTTCTCTTGCATCTGTTGCTGTGTGTGTGATACTAGGGCCAGATCATCCGCAAAATCCAGGTCATCAAGTTGTTTCCATAGTGTCCACTGAATACCATTTCTCTTCTGCTCTGTAGACATTTTCATTATCCAATCAATGGTCAGCAGGAATAGGAAAGGCGAGAGCAGACACCCCTGTCTGACACCGGTCTGTACCTCAAAAGCCGCCGTTGTTTGCTGGCCGTGGACAATTCTGCACGATAGTCCTTCGTAAGAAGCCTTAATTATGTCTGTCAATTTTTGTGGTACCCCGTAGTGTCTAAGCAGCTTCCACAGAGTCTGTCTGTCGACACTGTCAAAAGCCTTCTCATAGTCAATGAAGTTGACGTATAGTGACGAGTTCCACTCCAGAGATTGTTCCACAATAATTCTCAGTGTGGCAATCTGGTCTGTGCAGGATCTGTCTTTTCTGAACCCTGCTTGTTGGTCCCTAAGATTGATGTCTATTGCCTCCCTCATTCTGTTTAGCAGCATTCTGTTGAATACTTTGCTTGGG